GGGACTCGGGATATTTAAAATTCTAAATAGACGGGTAACCATGAGGAATCGTCATGGGTCAGCCGCTGGCCTCAGGATGCCACCAGCAGAAATTTAGTTCGCGGCCTGCCCCAAGTCCCAGTATTACCATCACTTCACCTGAAGCCGGCTTCAATAGCTTCCCCAATACTGGGACGGTATTTGAAGCCAGTTTGAAGCCGGCTTCAATAGGGCTTCAAATACTCCCATGAAGCCGGCATCAATAGCTTCACCAATACTGCGACTGTATCTGAAGCCAGTTTGAAGCCGGCTTCAATTCAAATACGATTCCCCAATACTGGGACGGTATTTGAAGCGGAGGGGACTCCGGATATTGATAGTTCGCGGCCTGCCCCAAGTTGCAGTATTACCATCACTTTAGGCTGTGTTCTTTCGTATAAGGGGTCAATTCAAATACGATTCCCCAATACTGTGACGGTATTTGAAGCCGAGGGGACTCCGGATATTGATAGTTCGCGGCCTGCCCCAAGTTGCAGTATTACCATCACTTAGGCTGTGTTTTTTGTAAAGGGGTCCAACGTCACAATTTCTTAAACGGTGCCGTACTCTATTTTCACGGTGAGTCCAATACTGGGACGGTATTTTTTGAAGCCAGTTTGAAGCGGTTCAATAGGGCTTGCAAATACGATTTTCCTCAATACCTGGGACGGTATGTTGAAGCCGAGGGTACTTCGGGATATCGGCTTCCATTCAAATACGATTTCCCCAAGAATGGACGGTATGTGAAGCGAGGGGGACCGGATATTGATAGTTCCTAGTCCTGCCCCAGGTGCAGTATTACCATCACTTTAGGCTGTGTTATTTCATATAAGGGGTCCACGTCACCAATTTACTTAAACTGGTGCCGTACTCTATTTCACCGTGATCCAGTTGCAGTATTACCATCACTTTAGGCTGTGTTATTTCGTATAAGGGGTCCACGTCACCAATTTACTTAAACTGGTGCCGTACTCTATTTCACGGTGATCCAATACTGGGACGGTATTTGAAGCCAGTTTGAAGCCGGCTTCAATAGGGCTTCAAATACGATTCCCCACTATTGGGACGGTATTTGAAGCCGAGGGGACTCGGGATATTTAAAATTCTAAATAGACGGGTAACCATGAGGAATCGTCATGGGTCAGCCGCTGGCCTCAGGATGCCACCAGCAGAAATTTAGTTCGCGGCCTGCCCCAAGTCCCAGTATTACCATCACTTACCATGAAGCCGGCTTCAATAGCTTCCCCAATACTGGGACGGTATTTGAAGCCAGTTTGAAGCCGGCTTCAATAGGGCTTCAAATACTCCCCTGAAGCCGGCATCAATAGCTTCACCAATACTGCGACTGTATCTGAAGACAGTTTGAAGCCGGCTTCAATTCAAATACGATTCCCCAATACTGGGACGGTATTTGAAGCCGAGGGGACTCCGGATATTGATAGTGCGCGGCCTGCCCAAGGCAGTATTACCATCACTTGAGCTGTGTTCTTTAGTAGAAGGGGTCAATTCAAAAATTACGATTCCCCATCCTGGGCGGTATTGAGACGAGGGGAATCCGGATATGATAGTCGCGGACTGCCACAAGTTGCAGATACCATCACTAGGCTTGTGTTATTTCGTTATAAGGGTGTCCACGTCACCAATTTACTTAAAAATGGTTTGCCGTACTCTATTCACGGTGAATCCCCAATTCCCGGGACGTTATTTTAAGCCAGTGTTTTGTTGAAGCCGGCGTCAATAGGGCCTTCAAATACGATTTCCAATAATGGGACGGTATTGAGCCGAGGGGACTCGGGATATTCGTCGGTCAATTCAAATACGATTCCCCAATATGGGACGGATTGAAGCCGAGGGGGAATCCGGATATTGATAGTTCGCGGGGGGGGGGGGGGGCCCCTGCCCCCAGTTGCAGTATTACCATCACTTTAAGGCTGTGTTATTTCGTATAAGGGGTCCACGTCACCAATTTACTTAAACTGGTGCCGTACTCTATTTCACGGTGATCCAGTTGCAGTATTACCATCACTTTAGGCTGTGTTATTTCGTATAAGGGGTCCACGTCACCAATTTACTTAAACTGGTGCCTTACTCTATTTCACGGTGATCCAATACTGGGACGGTATTTGAAGCCAGTTTGAAGCCGGCTTCAATAGGGCTTCAAATACGATTCCCCAATATTGGGACGGTATTTGCAGCCGAGGGGACTCGGGATATTTAAAATTCTAAATAGACGGGTAACCATGAGGAATCGTCATGGGTCAGCCGCTGGCCTCAGGATGCCACCAGCAGAAATTTAGTTCGCGGCCTGCCCCAAGTCCCAGTATTACCATCACTTCCCTAAACCCTACACCAGCAGAAATTTCAATAAACGAGTAAATTGGTGAATGACAAGGGTCTAGGCTGTGTTATCTCGTATAAGGGGTCTACGTCACCAATTTACTTAAACTGGTGCCGTACTCTATTTCACACTGTTGGGGATAGGCCTGCAAATACGGTTTCCTTGAAGCCGGCTTCAATAGCTTCTCCAAGATTGGGACGGTATTTGACGCCAGTTTGAAGCCGGCTTCAATAGGGCTTCAAATATTCCCCTGAAGCCGGCTTCAATAGTTCACTAATACTGGGATTGTGTCAGAAGCCGGCTTCAATAGGGCTTCAAATACGATTCCCCAATACTGGGACGGTATTTGAAGCCGAGGGGACTCGGGATATTTAAAATTCTCAAAATATGTGTAAAGATGAGGAATCGTCTTGGGTCAGCCGTTCGTGGTTGGCCCCAAGTCCCGGAAAGCCATCGCTTTTGGATCTGTTAACAACCATAAAAACTACTTCCTATTTTAGGGGTGATCCTGTCTGCTCATACGTTGTACGGGTAAAACACATAATTCGTCTATTGAATAAGAATTATTTGCATTAATATTGTTGAAAATTGCAATTTTGTTTATTCCATTGAGATGTGTATGGTCCGAATAGTGAATGCCATAAAAAAACGCAAATATTTTGCGCTTGATATTAAATTAGGCGCATCTGGGTCGTTTTATACCTATCAACCAATTAACTAGAAGAACAAACAATGCCAAATCACAACCAATTGCAATTTTTTAATGCAAAAGGGGGTTGGCTCCTTATGGAGGCGGTTAGTGACTGGAGATAAAATAAAAAATGCGTCCTTTGCTGAATTCAGTAGAGCCTAAGCACGCCTGAAGTTTTCGCATTGGGCTTGTACTGGATTCTTTTCGTTTTTGAAAATAAAAAATGCTTGTTGAAGAAAATTTATTGTTTGCCCCCACGGGAACTACTGGAACAGGATTTGGGCCGCTTGGTATTCCAATTCTTCGGGTGGACGTCAGGGATGCAGTTGTAGCAGTCTGGCCGAAGTGACAGCGATCAATATAACGGGTCGACGAGCAGGCAAGTCTTGCTCAACAAGCCGGCCGGCGACCCAAGCGCGCAGTGGGGCTGCATGTACGCAGTCTTGATGGAAGATCCCCTTATTTGCAACGTCTTCGCGGACGCCAGGTCTTGGTGGAAAGTGTACAAGGAGTGCTGGCCTCGCCGGCGCGACTAGACTGCCTGCACGAAGCTTTGGCCGAGCTCAAAACCAATCCCCGCCAGTACAAAGCGAACCTCGCGATAAACGAAATCCTGGCGAGTATGGCAGCCATTCTAGCCAACAGCTTGCCGACCTCTTCAGAAGCCTCGCAGGAAGAGCCCGGCACATATACCGAGGAAGACAAGCATATAGCAGACGCAGCGTCTCGGGGAGGAAGAAGGAAAATAAGATTTCATTTACATGGCCATTCTAGGCGAAACAGCCCGCCTACCCCAGCCCCAACCCTCACAGCACAGGGTGCAGCCATGGCGGGAGTGCGGGGATAGGCTTGGCCAGTGCTACTTCTGAGGTGGTGTGTATACGCGAAACATTGCCATCAAGAATGGTAAACGGATCATGATCTTATCATTATTATAAATCCAAGTCGCCTTAGTACCAATTATATTTTCAACGACCAGGGAAATTACTACCCTCGTCACAGCAAAATACCGCCAACCGACCGACATAATCATTATATTTTTTGATGCGAAGAAAATTGATATTATCTTCCAGAATAGATAATATACTAAATGAATTAAGTATCGATGGAAGATACTGATTCAATCTATATATAAACTTTTCAAATCAGTGTAATCTACCAAAATATGAGTGTTCCATAGAAATAATATCTTTTATCAATAGATTTTCACGTCATATATCTTCTGGTCGGACGACAATGAGATAAACGAAATTTTGATCATATTGCCGACGAGACAAGCTCGATTGGCGCAAATATCGCCGGCAGATATATTCCGCGGGAGAGCTCGTCCCTGCTTGATCATACAGGTCATGATTCAATTCTGCAAATTATATAATTCAGATCGTATGATTCCTACTGATTCGAGAATTTTCAGAAGACGATACCTAATAAATCTGTTGACGCTCGGGTCCACTGGTGTGTTCAGCAGAGGGCATGGCAGAAAGCGACAATCGTCTTCTCCTAAAAACGTCTATGATTGCAACCCTCCCAAGAGGAACAATCACACAGAACGATTCGAAAGGAAAGGGTCCTAAGGGGAACCTCGCAAACCAAGAATCCCCAGTCCTTCCTCGCAAACCGCAAAACAAACCACGACCTACCAACGCCCTTCAACGGCCTCACTTCAGTCGGGCTTTTCATGTTTGAGCCACGCCGGTGCGTGTCATCCTTGTGCAAGGGGCTTCTGTGCATACCCTTGACTTAGAGATTACGGAGTGCTTCAAAGCGCAACTTACAGGCGCCATCATATCAATACTCCTCCTTGGGCTGTGCGAGATTGCTTCACAGTAGCCCACATACGAAAACAATTGCTGGCGCCTTTGACAATACTGGCACAATGTCACTTGACGCCGACGGGTCATGGCATTACGTAGGCCGTTACATGTCGCTTCATGATGCACTCGGTCACCATGCTCACTCATCACAAACGGTCCTTGAAACGGAACATATCCGTCCGGCTGTACATCCGTCTGCACCGCAATGGAAGCTGTAGTAGCTCTTGAGCGCGACCTCGCCGGCACCGGTGAAGCTTGGGGGGTCGCCCTCGACGTCGCCAAAGGAGTTGCCGGTGCACTACGTTCTTGAACTGGATCATCAATCCATAACGTGCCACCTCCTCCTGAACAGCTTGCTGTAGTCGACGAAGCCGCCTGGCCCCCCGGGATTCCTCAACAGAACCACTTCTTCTCAAAGAGATCCACTCAAAGAACCACTTGATCGCCTCCCAAACACCAATAGCAGCGACCAAACCAAGAAGGATGAGGCCATAGAGCTCCCACGGCATGCTAACTTCAATGCCTCTTTCCTCCGGCTCGGATGTAGTCGAAGCCCTCGACCCTTGAACCATCCACCCCATGAGCAAAACAAGCAAGCCCCAAAGGTTCAAGAGCTCAACTAAACGAGGGCGGTTAAACGCCTTCGTTCCCAAATCGCCGAGCTGAAGCTTGCCTGCGATGTGCTCGATGCGTAGTTCACGTAGATGAACTGCCTCCCGTAGGTGGTAGGCCCGCACCTTCAAGTGCCTCGTCTTCCAGCTGCCACCGGCCTCATTGCTGAGACCAACAGCAGCTGAGTTGTCTACTTTCACAACAATCTCCGCCGGCACGTGGTGGAGCTCCTCGGTTATCGCCGAGATGCCATAGGCCATCTGTGTAGTGTTGATGGTCTCGATAAGTTCCGCTTCCGCAACCGACCAGGACACCAACGCTTGGCGCCCAGAGCACCATGCAACGGGCTGCTGAAGATACCTCGTCAAGCTACATCCAACACTACGGCTCCCATGTGGGGCGAAGGAGGCGTCCGAGAACGCCTCAACATAGTGAACTTTGCGCTCGGGGTTGTACTCTAGGTTGAGGTCAATCGTAGCCTTCAGGTAACCGAGAGCCCGTAGCCCGATGCACTCGACCAAATCGGATTTTTCAAGCACCAAGACGACATTGTGGATACGGTATGTATAAGGTCTGGCCTAGACTTTTCCGCTCAGCCAAAGAAGCTCTCCGGTGAGAGCTTGTGCCACCAGGAGTATAGTCCTCCTGAGAACACTCGGCCTCACCTAGAAGCCACTCCTGCGGGCACGGGGTCAGGTGGCCACGTGCCTCTGAGAGGCCATGATGCCTCAAAAGCTCTTCAATGAAGCCCCTTTGGTGGATTTTCACTGACCCATGGCTGTTGCGGCTGATCTCCAATCCCAGGAACCTTATGGTCGTTTCCTCAGATGCCCAAGTCAACTCAGACGCCTTCCATTCACTGGTTAACCACTGGTGAAGTTCCTGAATGATGTCCGGCTCGCCCACATACAAGATGTCATCTATATACACATTGACATAGGCCCGAACAGTAGTAGATCCATCTGCAGCAAACACACAAACTGACCTCATGTTCTCGTCCGCTCTGTGCTGCTTCAGGTAGATGTATCCACCATCATAGGGAATCTTAGCACTGCGAAAGCGCTTGTCCCGGAAACGCCCCCAGGCGAGGAGAGCGGCGAAAGCCATAAAGGGCTCTGTCCACTCTCCACAACTGCATGGCATACTGCACCTTCGCCAACTGGAACACCTTTGGGGGGTAGAGGGCGTACACGTCCTCCTCCTCATCGTCTTCTTCCTGGATCGGAGCCAGGATAAAAGCATTGCGAATATCGGTTGAGGCCAAACACCATGCCACCGCAGCGCAGTGAACCAACATCACTCGTAGGCAATCCGTTTGACAGCCCCCTGCATAGGACTCTTCCATAGACTGCTTGCCCTGGAAATTTCCACAAATAACCAGTCTCGCTTTTCTTTTGTAGAAGCAGGGATCCCCAGGAGGCAGAGGCTGATCGGCATCTTGTGGTAGTACCTCTCCATCAAGGGGTTTCATAGTGAAGACTCCCTTTGCCGGGAGAATAACCAGCTTCCCAGATCGTTCCAGAGCTCTTTGCTCCTCAAGCGTTGAGGGAACCAAAGCCTTCGCCTTGATCAACGCGTCGGCCTCCTTGACAATGGACGCCGCCCACCTCGGAAAGAACTGCTTGACCTCATCCAGGGCAACAGTGTAAACAACCTTCAAAGGTCCAGACAACGTTTCCAACAAAGGTTCAACTCCATCTATTTCGTCTGTTCCCTCGGTCATTCGGCACAACGACATCCATTGCTCCCCACCCGGTCGGTCAGGCAGGCTCACGGACTCCCGAACCTCGAGCGACTTGTTGGCCTCGTTCACTGCCTCTGCAACGCCCTCAAAGTCTTCCGCAAAGGACCGGGGACACACTGAGCTCGCCTAGATCACATCCGGGTCCACATCTCGCCCTCAACATTTTCCAGAAGTGGAAACCAGCATGGACCATTCGTAACAGCTGCCGGGCCGGGAACTTCCTCGCACTGAACTGAGAGTCTGAAGTCGGGGAGGAAGCACAAACCTTAAGCGCTCCAGTCCTTGCTGAGCCCCATCTTCTAGTTTCCTGCACTGACCAATAGTGTGGGCAATAATAGTCCACTTTAGGCCACCGGACTAAGGCATCGTCTTATGCAGCTTCTTGGGTCGACCTGAACGACTTTGTTGTGCACAGGCTCCACGTAGCCCATCCTGTCTTCCCCTGAACCCAATTCCATGGACCCCGCAGGATGGCTGTCGCTGGTCCCCTCTTGCCAAATCTCTCCATTCTCGAAGTTCCCCAGGGTGAGGACGTAGTTACGTGAACCCCTCATATTGAACTTGTCCTTATGAGCATCGGTATTGAAGTCCTTGGCAATTGTGAGGACCGAAAACACCATAGGCTTCCCTTCATGATGCCTCAGCATCGCGGTCAAGTAGGACGCCAAACTCTCATGCCGTGCTGTCGCCGTGGTCATTCCCGTCCAAGGTCCGCGCTGATATGCCCCCAGTGTAGTATGAACGGAGGGAGGATCGTTGGCTTGCCAGGCAGCTGCTCTTTGCTTCTTCGTTTTCCGGAACCGCTCACTCTCCAGCACAGCCAAGAAATCACTCATCGAAGAACGACCTTCACATAAACCTGCTCAGCAAGGGGGCGATCATCCCGACGAGCGGATACCTTGGAAGCCGAACTTTCAAGGCCTTCCTCGTGACCCATAGACAGCCCATCCGAAACAACATCTTCTGACGAGGGCTCCACCTCGGCCTTGGCCAACATTGCCAGAGCCCTCAAACCAGCCTTCTCATCCCCGGCGGCGACGACCTCTTTATCGAAACCCGGAAGAAGGCCGACTCCACCTGCCAAGTCAATAACAGAACTCTTCCGGCGCACACGCCGAAGGGGCGGATCCTGAAACTGCCGAACATTGGTGGTAAACCATAGATTCCCTTCGTCCGTCAAGAACAAGTGGCCTCCAGAAAGTGAACGCACAGGACCAAGATATACTCCTTCGACCCATTTCGGCAGAAGGTCCGTTCAGCCTCCTTGGCCATAACCCTTCCTTCTCGTGAAAACCTTCGAACCAAAGCGAGCGGAGAAGGTTGGCCCCAAACTTCAGCTTGTTGCTGGGCCGATGCCGTTTCAGCGGCATATGGCCACAACGAAGCAACCAGCTCTGTTGACAAACCGCTCAGCTCCTTGGCCTGCTGTAACAAGATGCGCTTTCGCATCTTGAGGAACCGAACAGCACGTTCCGCGGTCCCATTCTGGGAAGGATCATCTCCTTGGGTAGTCGAAAGGTCAATGTCCCTGCTGGCTGCCCACTGCTCCAAGGCCTTTGTTGTATACTCCCGAGCACGATCCGCATGAAGTTTGTGCACAGGTAACCCACAGGAACGAAGCTGGATATGTGCTTCGTGCACCGCCTTCAATATATCCGCATTCTTCCTGGCTTTCATGGGCCGGACGACATAGACCGAGGAAACTCTAAGGGCTCGGCCAGGTTTTCATGGCCTCAACATCCTCATCCTCTTTGTCCTTCGGCACCTCGTCACGTGCTGGGATCGGGTGATCACAAAGGTCTCCGCTTTCAGGATGAGGTAGATCTCCTACAGGATCACCATCTTCAAATAACCAATCCTCACCAGGAGCTGGTCCCACCACGGGAGGGCCATCATCAGTGTTCCCGGTCTTCTCATCATCAACCTTGGTGCCAGGAATGCTTGGGAAACCTGTAGCAAGCAACCAAATCCCGCTGGCCCCTTGGATCGAAAAGGACCAGCCGTGCGAGGCAACTGTCCGGTCTTGCGGGTGAGCCAGGCCTTGACCCTTATCATTTTGTGGTATGTAGCCGAAGAGGGCCGTTGCAAGGTTTGGAGACAGGGAATGTTGCGAAGATCAGTTGTGAAGCTCCACGTTGGTTTCCTGTTGGAACGCCTTGACGGGGTAGGCGGTGATGATCGCCTGTCTCTCTTTGCTTCTCCTGTCTCTCTTTGCTTCTCCTTTGTGGCGGGCTTTCTCAATGGATGCCTTTATGGGTGACGTGGAGTGTATAATGAACGGGGTGCCAACGGTGTTGGGTGGCAACTTTGATCTATGGCATCTGCAGGATGCTGAGCTGGGAGCGGTTTCCCCGGGTGATCCCATTGGTTCAATGTGGCCGCTTGAGTTGGTAGCGAATGTGGCGCATGCTGTGCGAGCTTGGGTTGGACTGAGGCGGAAGGAGAGCTTGTTGTCTTCTTTGATGAAAAGGTCTTGGATGGGCTTTATGGAGAAGGCACATGAAGGAGGCGCACTTCCGAATGACCCTGGGGATGAACGAAGTGGTGGAGACCCAAGGTTATGTCGCTTTGATATAGATGAGTGGCGCTTTCACCTACAACGGGATCGCCTACCATATAGAAAGGATTGTCGGGTTTGTGTTGCAAGATCGACGGGAAAACCGCATAGGAAGGTGAGCCATCCTACGGCTTACTCCCTTTCTATTGATGGTGTTTCGAGCCACACAATAAAAACCTTTCACCTCTGTTCAAGCCGGTCCACGAATGAACAAAGCATTGCTTCCCGTTCCGACACCTTGATCTGAGCTGAACCACTGACAGGGGCGCTTTGCACTCGGCGCTCCACCCTTCTGCTTTCGTTTTCCACCATTGCCAGCATCCCCAGTAGGCTGCACACCCTCGTGGTGGTAGCAGACGGCGCCGTAGCAGCACTTCCCGTAAACGCCGTAGACGCCGGTGGTTTCTTATTGCCCGCTCCAAGCTGTTCCAACTCGGCAAGCAAATGCTGGAGGAATTTCATGACGTTCTGTTGGCCCGGCCTCGAGTCTATCTGTCGCTCTGTCTTTGCCAGAGCCACTCTGAACTTGAAGTCGCTGTGGATCTCGGCGGTACGCTTCACGATGTTCGACAGCGACCTCACCTGTAGCGACTCGTCCGGCAAGGCAATGTTGAGGTCCGCCCCACCTGCAACAGCCGGTACCACTTTCTGATCGCCAGGACCGCTTCAGCCGGGCCCGGGCTAGTCTCACTGACGTCTAGTTGGCGCAACAACTGCGCCCTGTCCTGGGCGCCGCCCGGTTGGAAGACCACCATCAACCTGAACAAGATCTGATGGACTCCTTGAACTCGGTGGGCCACGAGCTCATCTTTGACTCCCTTTGGAAGGGAGTTAAGAAGAAGGGACGCGACCTTCCTCTCCAACTTCTTGTAGCACTCCTCCTTGAGGTCATCTGGCAGCGCTTCATTGGCGATAGCGTCTGGCACTCACTGTAGGCCCGCTGTGCCACCTGTAGAGTTCTCTGCCACCAGTCTGTGGCCCCCGACGCCAAACTTCCCAGCTGTTGTTCCGTGAGGTACAGGTAGTCCTGGAAATCCGTTGCCCCAGATTTTGGAGTGTACTCTGTCTGGAAGCTTTGAGAGTTCCACGACGGCCTTCGCTTCCAGATCCATTGCGTCACGGCCCTTCTGCTTCAACAGAACTTTCTGCTTGGCTGCGGCCTCCTCCGTTGCTGCCCCCACTTGAGGTCCAGACTGAGGTTGAGGTGGAGGTCGCGCTCCTTCGCTTGACTGGGCTCTTGTGCCACCTAAACCCACTTAGTCCCCGAAGAAGATCACCAGCTCCGCGACGAAGAAAGCGCCCTCTCACACTGGCCGCCATTGGCCCATTACGGCCCAAGCGACCTGAGCTGGACGAAGCTCCTCGCCCTCGTAGCTCTGGACTAACCACGCACGGCGACCCTCTGCGCCGCGACCATGGTGCCTCCTTCACTTCCTGGAAGCAGACGTACACCACCGGGATCACTTCATAACTCAGGAAGCGCTGATCGCGCGGCCATCCCCACGCTGCTCTGCTGCAGAATAAACCCGATCACCTCCGAGTACTCCGTGACTTGCAAAAGGAGGCCGAGCATCTGCATGTGCCCCTTGACCCAAATATATTGATAGTGATATCCAGAATCGAATTTCTTTATATATCCATTCTGAATGATTATTATCCATACGATTCTGGAAATAATATCAACTAGAAAATGTATATTGATAATATATGGTGCCGCGTCGCCGCGTCGCAGGCCCCCCGCCCCCACCCCCCATGGTATGCCCCCCTCCCCCCCCCCGAAGCCAGGCGTCTCGTCCCATCAGGCCAAACAGTCACACGTCATCCGGGTAACTCCCCCCCAAGCCAGGCCTGGCCTCTCGCCACGGCAGGGGCGGGAGGGAAAATCCACAACAGTGGAACAGTGGAACCACAAAACGGCGAACCACAGGGGTGGGGTGGGGAAGGATAATCCATACAGGGAACCACCGGGCGCCTTCCCTTCCCCTCTCTTCGAAAACAAATGAGAATGTTGCGCACAATGATGTTGATGTGCTAGTCCCAGTGTGGCTGTTGGTGGTACCTTTACTCTTATGTTGCTCCGGGCTTCGGCACCGCATGTTCATTGCTTTATCTAGTTGAAAACCGTGCTTGGCTTGTGATATTCTTGCGAAAACTGGATCGACCGTTGTCATTCCAAGCCAAGTTACGGTTGGGTTCGCTACAAGTAAGCTTGAGCACGTGTTTGAATGGTTTTCATTCGGGAGTTTTGAGCAAGGGACCGGAGGAGAGTGCGGATGGGGATAATGACCACCATCTTCGACATCATCATCACCATCATATTCATCACCATCATTGGCTTTGGAGCTTAGGGCAGGTCGGAGTTCAATAGACCTGTATCACATCCTACGGTCATGGACGGGGGCTTAGCCGACCGCAACCAAGGGGCAGGGGGGGAACCCAGACCACAGGGAACCACAGGGGGGGAGGGGGGTATACCATGGGGTGGGGGGGGAGGGGGGGCCTAGCAGCGCTGCACCATATACGACATTAAAATCATAGAAAATCATTCATTTTATTACCGAGCAAAAAAATCATTCATACACATAACAAAACAAAAAAAAACAAATAATAATCGAACTTTTATTCTTATGTATCAAAATGTATATTTCTACAATCCAGAATGAACCTTTATATCCAGTCAAGCAAAGGAAAAATCCGTACTATCTTAAAATTATAGATTCCGAATGCAACAGCGTAAAAAAAATATTAAAATTAAAAAGAAACGTATATCATGCATGATATTTTAAATAGCTATTATTATGAAGATTTCGCAATACTAAAAATATTTTTTAATATTTCTACATGAACGCTACAAGTATCATTATTTTCATTATTCACATTAAAATATTATTGATGTACTTCAAAGGCCGCGCACTGGAGGAAATGTTGACAATGGCCCGTTCAAAGCTGTTGAAGCTGTTGCGTGGCTTTCAACATTGCACAGCCGAATGCCAAACTCATAACAACTTGGCCGGCCAGAAAAATTGCGAGGGGGCAATACTGGGTCCTTACCGGTGCATGCCAGCTCCTATTCAATTGGAAAATATAGCAATCGATGTAACAATTCTTCGGGAGGAAATGAAAGGCCCTTAACCTTGAAGCTGCAGCACTGCAGGAAGTTTCCGGCATGTCGTGATTGGGGGAAAACATAAACCTGAAGGTTTTCCCACATATCTATGCCCGAGTCAGATGGCTGAGTCAAATCTTTATCGCCCTCAAAACATACCCGGCACTCATCCCTGATCCTCGCTATGGCGATCAATGCTGCTCGATGGGCTCAAAGCTTCTGAGATGGGCGGCAGGTTTTCCAAAAAATCCAAGAAAAAGATTTTTGCCCGCATGTCTGAAATCGTATTTGTGCTACCAATCTGAGGCGTTCCAAAGTTCACTTGCTCAGGAAAAACTCGTTCTCACGAAAAGTGTGTTTTTTCCATATGAAAAGGGTTCAGAGCTCAAGGATTGTTCGACGTGTACGAAAAATTCCAAAGCTCATGTTTCACTTGCTGACGAGGAATGTCTGTTATTCTTGAAAGTTCCAGGGCTCAGATCTGCTGAAAATGAATGTTTTTTCCTTGTATTCCGGCTGGAAATCAAACCTGCTCAAGAACATCAACCGCTCGTTCAGGAAGGGCTCTTCTAAAGAAAATCTCGTGCAGAATTGAATTGGGCGTTGGGACGGACAACCTCTGGCACATTTGTTCCACTGCGCCAGCAAATCCAGAAAAATTTTCGGTTTCAGCAGTTTTCAGTTCAGACCCGATTCGCGTAAGTAGAACAAGCCCCTTGGGCAGTTTGAGTTGTTGACTTCTTCATACAAGTTCAACAGGCGCCTGATGAAAAACAAAACAAATTTGCCATTTGACTTCAGGAACCAGTTCTTTGCAAAGTTGCGAAAACATAAAAACTTTTTTTAGCTTGGTTCGTTTCCAAGCTTTGCCACGATGAGAAGGAAATGATGATATTGAAGAAAAGCGCTACAAGGGCCCCATTTGGCATGGTGGTGTTGCGTTTCCAATGGTCATTCGTACGGGGGAAACAATTCAATCGGTCGTCAAAGATGTTTCTATTTCAAGAAGATTTT